TCGACCCCCGCCACGGCGAGCTGAAGAGCGGGGTATCATCGGGATCGTGACCACCTTCACCCACGATCCGCACGACCCCACCGACGAGCAGTACCTCGAGCTCTTCCGGCGGATGGTCGATTCCGTCGGCGTCAAGACCTTCGCGGACCAGCTCGGGATCTCGACGCGCCAGGTCAACCGCATCCTCGCGGGCACGCAGCCCAACCCGGTGCGCCGGCTCATCAAGTCGCTCAACTCCTGCGACGCCAAGACCGGCGACGACGTGCTCTCCGCCATCTGCGAGGACATGGGCGGCTACTTCATCCGCGAGGAGCCGAGCCTCGACGCGGCCGCGGTCAACGCGGTGAAGGAGTGCGCCGAGGCGATCGCGGTGATCTCGGACGGCGACATCTGCCCCGTCGACGAGGTCGAGATCCGCGAGGCGATCAGCGCGCTGATCGCGCTGCGGATCGAGCTGCGCAAGGATCGCGAAGAGGGATTGAAGAAGTAAGACGACGGCACGCGCGAAAGCGAGCGTCGGCCCGAAGGGCCGTACGGAACGCCCACCATTCGGGCCCGCTCAGCCCCGCCGCCAGATTCAAATCTGGTCTCCGGCGCGGGCGTACGAGAGCGAGTGTCGGCCCGCAGGGCCGTACGGAGCGCCCAAAAAAGGAGCAGCCCGGCGCAATCGCACCGGGCTGCCGGAGGAGAGAGAATCAAGCGCCAAGTGCCACACTGACGCTTGGCGAACTATACGCCTGCTCCGCGCGTTCGGTTCGGGTGAAAGGGGGGGTGAATGGTGAAGAAACACCGCCCCGCACCGCCGGAACAAGCGTCCCCGATTAGCGGTAATTCGGCTGGGGAATCTCGCGCAGCAGATGCTCCACGATGCGGTCCGCGTCCACGCCCTCGGCGCTCGCGGCATAGTTCACCAGGACGCGGTGGCGGAGGACGGCCGGGGCGAGCCGCTGGACGTGCGAAACGCTCGGCGCGGGCTCGTTTTCCAGGGCCGCGAGGCAGCGGGCGCCCAGGAGCAGCGCCTGGCCCGCCCGGGTGCCGGCGCCCCAGGAGACGAACCGCTTGACCGCTTTCGGGCACGCGGGGTCGTCCGGGCGGGTGGCGCGGATGAGGGCGAGGGCGTAGTCGACCACGTGGTCGGAGACCGGGATCTGCCCGATGGCCTTGCGGATCGCGACGAGCTCGCGCCCGTCGAAGAGCGGCTCGACCGTCTCCGCCCGGCGCTGGATCTCCTCGGAGTGCATGAGCACGGCCCGCTCGTGGTTGGCCTTGGGGTAGCTCAGGGAGAGCGAGAGCATGAAGCGGTCGAGCTGCGCCTCGGGCAGGGGGTAGGTGCCCTCCTGCTCGATGGGGTTCTGGGTGGCGAAGACGACGAAGGGCGCCTCGAGCGGGCGCGTCGCGCCGCCCGCGGAGACCTGACGCTCGGCCATCGCCTCGAGCAGCGCCGCCTGGGTTTTCGGCGGGGTGCGGTTGATCTCGTCCGCGAGCAGGACGTTCGTGAAGATCGGCCCGGGCACGAACCGCATGGTCCGCTCGCCCGTCGCGGGATCGGTCTGGAGGATCTCGGACCCGAGGATGTCGCTCGGCATCATGTCCGGCGTGAACTGGACGCGCCGGAACGCGAGGGACATGGACTGGGCGATCACGCGGATCGTGAGTGTCTTGGCGAGCCCGGGCGGGCCCACGAGCAGGGCGTGCCCCTGGCAGAACAGCGCCACGAGGGCCTGCTCCACCACGTCGTGCTGGCCCACGACGACCGATCGGACCCGCTTCGTGAGTTCCGAGTGACGCTCGGCGAGCGATGCGAGCGCTCGGACGCCCTCGTCGTGGGACACATCGGGCGTGGCGGCGGGGGGCGGCGCGGGGTCGTTCATCTCCAAGATCGTACAGCCGCGTCGTTATGGGGTTGTGCCGAGGGGCCATTGAGTTTGCCGGTCGCACCGATCGGGCAAGGGCCGCTCCCACGGGGCGTGCGTCCGAGTCGATCGCCGGGCGGGGCGATTCGATAACTCCGCGATCCTGCGCAAGAGAGCCGGTTCCGATCATCCGTCGCTTGGATTCGGCTGCGGGCGCTGCAAACGAATTCTCAAAAATCGCGTCCGAAGGCCCTTCGCGGATTCGCGCGGAGCGCACGGTCGACGCCGATGGCCGATCCGGCGCACACGACGCCCCGGAGAGGCCGAACCCGCCGCCCGCCTGCGGATGGGGGCGTGGCGGGTCGATCACTCCTGTGCCGGCGGGCTCTGTTCTGGCTCGCTCGGGAGTGTGACCCTTCGGAGTACGCGACATGCAGACGATCCGCCTCGGCGAAATCATGATGGAGATGGACCTACTCGACGAGGAGCAGGTCGAGCAGATCCTCGATGAGCAGCGCCACGCCGGTGGCACCTTCGGCGAGATCGCCGAGCGGCTCTTCGACATCCACCCCGAGGACGTGGAGCTGGCGTGGGCCTCGCAGTTCCGCGAGCTGACGGGCGTCTGCGACATCCGCGGGATGGACGTCTGCGACAAGGCTCTGGGTCAGTTCTCGCGCCGGCAGGCGTGGCAGTTCCGCGTGCTCCCGGTGTCGATGAACAACGGCGAGCTGCTCATCGCGACCACGGTCGAGCACCTCGCCCGCGCGCTGCGCTTCGTGACGCGTACCGTGGACGTGCCCTGCTCGTTCGTGATCACCGAGTCCATCTGGCTGGGCGAGGCGCTGCAGGAGAACTACCCCATGCCGGGGCTCAGCTCCGCCTCGCTCGCGGGCTGACGATTCACGAGCCCCGTTCCGTTTCATCCGCTCCCCGACGCCCCTGAAGCGGGCCCGAAACGTCGCCGATAGTGACCAACGGGGCGGCCCCAGCGCCGCCCCGCTTTCTCACACCCCGAGCGACGAGAGCGGCCCGTGAACCGGATCTCCACCCACAATCGAAGAGCGACCTCCTGGTCACCGCTGCACCACGCGGCCCTGATGCTCGCGCTCATCGTCCTCGGGGGCACGCTCGGCTACATGGCGATCGAGGGCTGGGCATTCTGGGACAGCTTCTTCTTCACCGTCGTGACGATCACCACGGTGGGGTACGGCGACAACGGGATGGGCGTCCGCGGCGAGCAGTTCACGCTCCTCGTCATGGTCGCCGGCATCAGCACGCTGACGTACGCCGTGGGGCAGGCGATGAGCGTCATGATCCGCTACCAGTTCGACAAGGAGCGACGGATGAACAAGGAGATCTCGAAGCTGGACTCGCACGTGATCATCTGCGGGCTTGGCCGGATCGGAAGCGCCGTCGCGGGGGACCTGCGGGCGCGGGGCGTGCCGTTCGTCGGCATCGACCGCGACGAACGCCGCGTGCAAGAGGCAGAGGCGAAGGGCTGGCTCGCGATCGCGGGGGACGCGACGGACGAGAAGCTGCTCCTGCGCGTCCGGCCGGACGCGGCGCGCGGGGTCGCGGTCGTGACGGACGACGACACGGAGAACATCGTCGCGGTGATGACGATCCGGCAGCTCATGCCGGACCTGGACATCATCGCGCGCGTCGAGTCGCGCTCCTCGGAGTCCAAGATGCGTCTCGCGGGCGCGACGAAGATCTTCATGCCGAGCGAGCTCGGGAGCCGCGTCGTCACCGACGCGCTGCTCCTGCCCGAGACCGACGAGGTTCCCGTGTCCTCGCCCTTCCGCCTGGTGCACGCGCGGGTGGGGGCGTCGTCCGGCGTGCTCGGCGTGTCGCTCGGCGACTGGTCGGGCGAGCACCCTCGCCTCTCGATCGTCGCGGCGATCGACGCGCAAGGGAACACGAACCTCAGGCCGAACGCGCGGGTCGTGCTCTCCGAGGGCGACACGCTGATCCTCGCCGGCGATTCGTCGGACGTGGACGACGCGCTGCTCAGGCTCGCCGGCTAGCCGCCGGTGCGCCCGAGCCACAGGTCGCGCAGCTCGTGACGCGAGGTGACGTCCCAGCACTGGTAGATCGCCTTGGCGTGCTCGTGCACCGTGTGCCGGGAACGCCCCAGCTTCTCGGCGATCTCCGCCTCCGTCATGCCGGAGGCGAGCATGGGGGCGACCTTGCGCCGCATCGGGCTCAGCTTCTCCAGCAGGGCCTCTCGACGGCGACGCTCCGCGTCCGGGCCCGAGGCGTACGCCTCGCGGACGACCATCGCCAGCGTCTCGATCGCAATACGGTCCGTGTCGCCCGGGGACCACGCCGGCGTGCTCCCGTCCAGCTGGAGCACGATCGCCCGCGCGGGCGTCACGTCGTGCGGCCGGAAACACGCCCACGCGAAATCGTGAAGGCGTCGGCGCTCCCGCTCGGCGTAGAGGGGCGAGCTCTTCCAGCGCCCATCCGAGAGCATCTCGGATCGCAGCCGGGTGTGCACGGCGTCGTCCAGCTCTTTGAATTCCGGCAAGCCCAGGAACAGGCCGTCGGTCCGGCCCGTCGAGCGGCGCGACTGGATGAACTCCGTGTAGCTCGGGTCGTAGCCGTCCGAGTGTGCGAGCCGGCTCAGACGCCACGCGGACGAGGGCGTCCGCACGAAGATCGAGGCCGTGCACCGAACGGCCCCATCGAGGCACGTGCGGATGCCGCGGCAGATCTCCTCGAGCCACCGGTCCGGGTCGGACGCGTCGATGGCGCCGAGCCGGGCCGAGTGCACGCAGAGGGTTCGGAGCATCGTGCGGTGCTCCGGAGCGAGGCGGTGACTCTGGATCGAAATGGGTTTCGTCGCGAGTTGTGCCATGGTCGCGTCTCCCTATGTCAGGGCACATTCTTAGAATCGGACCCTAACTCACCGACCCATCGGGAAAGAAGCGCCGCGTGAACGTGCAAAGAAACGACGAATCGCCGCCACGGCATTATTTTGTGGGAGCGAATTCGTGATTCCAGCTTTGTATGTGGGGCGTCCGGCGTGAATTTCGGACAATTACTCGAATTTGTGTGACGGCCAGCGAAGGCGGTTTTTTGGAATCCATCCCTCCCACGGGGGAGGGCGAACACCCCTCCCTCGGCGGGTCATAGGGGGGCCGTTTATCGCACGATCGAGTCGCTCGGTTCGCGCCGGCCGAGCCACAACTCACGCAGCTCGGTGCGTGTGGACACGTCCCAACTCTTATAAATAGCGCGGGTGTGATCGCGGATCGTGTGGCGCGAGCGATCGAACCGCTCGGCGATCTGCGCCTCGCTCTCGCCAAGCGCGATGCGACGCGCGATCTTCTGGCGGAGCTCGCTCAGCTTCCCGAGCAGACGCTCGCGCCGCTCGGACAGGCGGTGCGGGCCGTGGACGTACGCGGCACGGGTCGCGGCGCCGAGCACGCGAAGCGAGAAGCGGACGTCTTCGTCGGGTCGCCAATCGAGCCGGGCGCCGTCGAGCTCGACGACGAGCACCGCCCCCGGTTGTGCCGCGTCGGGCCGTACGCACATCCAGGCGAAGTCGTGGAGCGATCGACGCGTGCGCTCGCCGAAGAGTGGAGAGTTCCGCCATCGCGTGTCCGTGAGCAGGTCGGTGCGGAGGCGCACGGTCGGGGTGTTGCCGATCGAGTCGAAGCCCGGGGTCCCGAGGAACAGGCCCTCGGTGGTTCCGGACGTGAGACGCTCGTCGAGGAAGCCTTCGTACGAAGCCCCGTAACCCTCCGAGCAATCGAGCGCCGCGAGCGAGAACGCCTCGGTGCTCGGCTCCTGCAGGAAGAGCGCGGCGGTGCACCGGGCCCGCCGATCGAAGCTCGCGTGGAAGCGCTCACAGATCCCGCTGAGCCACGACTCAGTCGATTCGTAGCCGACCATCCCGATTCTCGCGGCGTGCGCGCCCAGCGACTCCATCAGGACCGAGTCCCGGTGATCCGAGCTGAGGCGGGGGCGTGTCGATGGTGTGGCGTGCGAGCGGGTCATTGTGTGCATTCCGGTGGCAACCCGTTGCTTCGAGTGCAATCCGGAGGGGTCGTCAGGGAAGAATACGACCATCTGCTCTTGAATAATGACGATATATGCGTCTTTATCTCAGAAAACGCGGTCGTTGCCGAGTCACCATTCGAAAATCAGCCATTTATGGCGATTTTTCGTTTGTGACCTTCGAGTCTTTTTTTCAACAACGAGGCATCGAATCGCCCGAATCAAGGGGGGCGCGAGACTGGACAGCGGCACGCGCGTCCGGGGAATCCTGTGGAGTGCCGCGCGGGCTCAGGCGCTCTCGGCTTCGCTCCGCGGGTCGTCGACGCTCGTGCCGTTGGTGGAGTGCATCTCGGTGATGTCTTCCTCGACGGACTCGAGGGAGGCGAGGACGTCCTTCATGGAGCGGGGCCGGTCGTCCGGGTCCACCTCGACGCACTCCATGATGAGGTCGGAGAGGCGGAGGGGGATGCGGGGGTTGAGCTCGGTGGGGGGCGTCGGCGGCTCGATGAGCGAGTCGTCGAGCGAGGCGACGAGGGAGTCGCCCTTGGGGATGGCGGTCGGGATGTGCTTGTGCGTGAGCACCCAGTACATCGTCGCGCCGAAGTTGTAGACGTCCGTCTGGGGGGTGATCCGCCGGCGGTGCACCTGCTCCGGGGCGATGTAGTCCGGCGTGCCCTGGATGCGTTCTTTGATCGTCCCGATCGGGCACGCCTGACCCAGGTCGATGATCTTCACCTCGCCGTTCTCGCAGATCACGATGTTGTTGGGCTTCATGTCCGCGTGGACGAAGCCCGCGTCGTGCACCGCCTGCAGCGCGCCGGCGGTCTGCTTGAAGATGTCCATCGCCTCTTCGAACGTCCGAGGCGGGTGCTTCTCGACGGAGATCCCGTCGACGTACTCCATGAGCAGGAAGATTTCCTTCAGCGTGATCAGCTTCACACGCGACTTGATCACCTTCTCGATGTGGCGGATGCCGGGGTGATCGATCTTCGCGGCGATGTCCGCTTCGGAGAGCGCCTGGTCGATGAACCGCTGGTCCTTGGGCTCGTTCTTCTCGACCTGCTTGAGGGCCCAGACCCGCTTGGACTTGGGATCCTGCACGAGATAGATCACCGAGGCGGCGCCGCGGCCGATCTCGGCCATGACGGTGTACCCGGCGAGCGTGGTTCCCGGTTTGGCGGCTTCGAAATGCCTCACGGTCCCTCGTGGATCCTTCGTTGCTCTCTGCCTCGATCCGGCCCCTGTGCCCAGCGACGGCAGCAGGCCCAGACTATCGAGATAAACCCTTGCGAATCAAGGGGCTATCACGGCGTTCGCGTGGAATCACCGTTCCGCCCACTCTGACGATTGGATAAGGATATCGACGGTCGCGCCCGCGTGCCTGATTCGGGCGGATCGAAAGCCGCGAAAGGCGGGCGGTCTGGGGGGGAGCGTCGCGTTTCTGGACCGGGGGGCCGGGGGGGCCGGGGGGCTCAGTCGAGCTCGGCGAGGCGGGCCTTGAAGGCGACCTCGGGGAACAGACGCCCGGGCCCGGAGCGCGGGGCGATCTCGCGGTGGAGCATGACGGCCTCGTCCGAGAGGTCCAGGCGGTGCTGGAGCTCGTTGACGAGCTGCGTGAGGGCGTTGAGCTGGGCGTCCGAGAACGCCCGCTTCTCGCCGTCGCCGACGAGGCAGACACCCAGGGTGCGACGGTTGTAGAAATCGCCGCGGGGGCCGGCGGTGTGGGCGCCGGCGAGCTGGCGGGACCAGCGGTAGCCCACGTGGATCTCGCCGTCGGTGGCGCCGAAGCCGTTGCCGATGACGAAGTGGTAGC